CTATCTCTGCAGACGTGCCACCCAGATAATGAGTGTCGAGGTCAGGATGTGAACCCATGACCTCAGGTTCCAAATCCAGCACTCTGCACCATGCAACAACAACTCTTCAAAATCACGTCCAACAAAGATCAGTTGAAGGAACTACGGATGTTTCCCTTGATAAAGAAAAGATCCGGGGACAAGAACAGGGAGGGCCTTGACTGTGGTCTTCAGATCTTCTAAGGTTGGTCCTCTGAAGCAAGGTTGTCCATACCTCCCAAAACACTTGGCTTCGTAGCACACTGAGGCACCTCTCCTAGAATACTGTGCATTGCTGGCATCTAGGTTAGTGTCCTACGACAGAAACCCATGAGGAAAGTGGCCTAGTACACAGTCAGTGCCTAGGAATTATCTGTTGGATGGATGGTTCTGCTAGATCCCAGAGAACATAACCAAGACTGTTGTGCAGAAATGATGGGGACGGACCAGCTCGCATTAAGGAAGAACATCTCAACAATGACAGCTATTTCATAATGAAATGGACCGCTTTAAAAGGTAGTGAGTTCCTTGTGTCTAGTGGACTACAAGGAGATGGTAATTTTCAAGGTTGTGCCAAAGGGATTCCTGCTACAGAGCAGGGACATGGAGGTCGATCACTAAGGTTCCTTCCCAATCTAAGAACTGATGATTCCAGACCGTGACACTGATCATTAGGCTCAAAGTAGACCCCTGACATGAACGTGTATATGGGACGTTGTAAGACCAGCCCCCGACTTGGTGAGGCTCAGTCACAGATAGTAACAACAGCTCCCATTCACAGGATGCTCTGTTTGCCAAACGCTTGAGATGGGCCATCTCATTACATACTCACAACCACCCTGGGAGAGAGAGGCTATTTCTATTCCTATTATACAGGTATGGAAACTGAGGCGGATAGAGATTAAGTGAATATCTTATGGTCACAGGGCTAGCAGGTGTCTGAGACAAGCTTTGGACTCAGTTCCCGGTGATTCCAAAGCCAGCATTTTAGCAATACCTACCACCTTGTGCCCCAGATTCAGCCACAAACACCAAACTTCTCATGAAACATTAAAGTAGAACTGTAAGATGATAATTCAGAGGTAGGAGGGACCTTAAAAGGTCATGTGGCCCAGCCCCCTCATTTTTCAGATACAAAAAGTAAGGGAGGCTGGCCTTGGGCAAGGCACGTAATGAGTAAGGAAGAGCCCGGCTTAAGCTCAGGTCTTCTCAACTCTCCCTTCTCCCCTCCCTGCAGACGGCTCACCAGTCTTCAAGGCCTGCCCAGCCCCCTCTGCTAAATCTCTCACATCTGCCTCCTCTCAGCTCCCTGGCCACACTCTCATCACCTCTCATCTGTGTTACCTGAGGCAGAGTCTCCTGATTGGTTCTGCGCTTACAATCTCTCCTCTCTCCAACCCATCTTTCCCGTAGCAGCCAAAATAACCTTCCTGGTTCACAGCTCTCACCACATCAGGCCTGCATTCAAAACCCTTCCAAACAGATCTCTTTGCCCAGCACTTAAGGGTATCCACACTCTGACTCCAATACACCTTTCTAGCCTTGGGTCACGTTTACACCATTCTCTCCCCTTCCCTGCAGCCAAACTGGTCTACAGTCTGCTCCCCAGAGCTGGCAGGCCCGGATGCGTTGCGAGGCCATCCCCCGTGCCCAGAATGCACTCCCTCTTTCTCGCGCCTCTCCGACTGCTCCTGGCCCTGTGTCAACACCTTCAGGGAGCTCCCCTACTGACTCCTCTTCAAACCATGGCATACCACATTTTTTCGTGTACAAGTTGTATCTGATCGGTAGAAAGGTAGTTCCTTTAGAACAGGCACGATCTGTTCAGTTTTTGTCTTTGGTCTAGGAAGGGGCCTCATTCATAGAAGGTATTTAATAGGTGTTGGTTGAATTGAATCGGACAGCATAAAACCCCCTTGCACTGAAACCTTTCAAACGTGCTTGATTTCTTGCCTCCCTTTACCAATCTTCCTCACAGAGTTCATGGCAGGAATATATAAAAAAAAGGAAAGGTAGAAGAGATGAAAAAGAAGACAAGGAAAAAGAGAAGAGGAAGAAGAAGAAAAGGGGGAAGGAGGAAAAAGAGGAAAAGAAGAAAAAAGAGGAAGGAGGAGAGGAAAAAATGAAGATATGTAAGAAAGAGTATCTCCAAAAAATTATAAAATCCCAGTTAGAGGAAACTCAAAAGCCATCTGCTCCAACCCACAACTGCATAGTAAATGTCTGCAAAGGGGCCATCCAGGCTTCACTAAAGCCTCCAGGCAGGGCAGGGGAAGGGGAATTCATGATCTCTTTTTACTTTGGAATGGCTCTAATTGGTGGAGCGTTTTCTTTGTTTGGTTTTCATTCGCTTTTTAAGCACTGAGCCTAACACAGCCTCTCTGTTACTTCGCTCCACGGTTTCTGGTCTTACCCTAAGAAGTTTAGTAGGACAAGTCTTATCCCCATCTGTGGAAGTGCCTGTCCGATATCTGAAAAGTCATTTAGCATGATTCCTTCTCTCCACTACTGTTTGGTATTCTCATCTTCATTCTAAATAGACCCAGCTTCGTCAAGCCATTCTTCTACAGTAGGATCTAGAGTTGTTCACCTCCTGGTCACCCCCTCTGAATATTTTCCAGCTTATCAAAATGTTCTTCCTGAAATATGATAACAAAAATGAACACACAGGGAGGTGAGGCTGGTCTCCTACTTCAGGTGAAGATTCCACTTGCTTTTTTTGGCTGCTATATTCAAATAATTGATAGAGAGCTTACAACCCACTTGAAAGGGTGGAATGAGTTGTCCCAGCAGAGTGTCTCCCTCTCACTCACTGGGGGTCTTGGGGCCAAAGCTATATGACCACTTGGGGGGAGGGTCTTTACCGAGCTGATGCTATTAGGCACAGACTCAACTCGACGGTCTTCGGAGTTCTTTCCAACCCAAAGATTCGGTCATTCCATAAAGCCTCCTGATCTTTCAGAGATAAACTGCTCTCTAGGAATGTCTTCCCCATCATGTACTTGTGAAGTTGACTTCTTGATCCTCAGTGTAGGACTTTGCATTTATTCCCATTAAATATTATCTCCTTAGATTTAACCCAGTGTTCTAGCCTTTGGAGGGCTTTTCCTTTCAATTCTCTTCCAAGAGGCATCTGCTCCAGTTTTGTGTCACTGACAAGCTTGATAAGTATGGTTCCTCTAACTTTGGTCCAGTCCTCGGTGAATGGTTTGGTACAGAAGCCCAAAGGGCTCTTAGGGCACTCCATTAGATTCCCCCTTCCCTCAGTTGAACCAATTATTCAATTCAAATCAACAAGCATTTATCAAGGGTTTAAAATATGCAGGCAATGTGCTAGGTAAAACAAGACCAAAAAAAATACAAAACAACGTGGGGGCATCAACAAGGGAGGGAATTCAAAATGTCCTCTCAAAGATGGCCCTGGGGTGGAGCCATAAAAGGAGAGAGGAGTCAGCTTCTAGAGGCCATGGTGAGGAGGGAGAGCATCCCAGGAATAGGAGACTGCCTGGGCGAAACCACAGAGGAGGGAGATGAAGGTCCATGTACAGGGAACTGTGTGTAGGCCAGCTTAGCCGGACCACATGGTTCTTAGCCCCTGGGATTTAAACCACTCTTTCATTGCACAAATATGGAAGGAGAAAAATTGAAAATACTTTCACATCTACATGTTAGTGATTTACATAGGAGAAGAAGGCCCCATGGGGGATTGTGAATCACCCAACACTTCTTCACTCCACTCTCAGGCATCAGACCTTTCTTGGTTACACAATGCTCATCCTCCTCTCCTCCTCACCAAGGAAGGCCTTGGATCTGTACCCAAGATGAAGCGTGGGGCTGAGTGAGCAGACCAGCTGAAGCCTATAGGAACCTCGGACACTCCTGGGAGCTGCTCATGCCAGAATTCTGCCCAGGGGACCTCATCACCTCACTGCCCCAGGGTCCTAGGCTGGCCCCTTTCAAAAATCTTCCTTGAGTCCAGTCACTCAGCCTGTTGCAAGTCTGTCTACCTCTTCTATTGTCAAGTGGTCAGCTCTCTACCTTGACCAAAAGGATGGAATGAAAGACTTCATCAGAAACCCTCCTAATGGTAGATACAGCATTCCCCTAATCTCCCAGACTAACAACCTGCCAAAGCAGACAATGGCATGACTGGTTCTCAATGAGGCCATGCTAACGCTTCCCAAGCATTCTGGTTTTACTAGCCATCCTTTGAATCATACCTCTTAATGTCCATTCAAGATCACAGACCTATAACTGAAGACTTTCTTCTCTTTCCTTTATTGTCTCTGGTCCTTACTGTCTTTTCTCTTATATTATGCTTTCTTGTATATCGAAAGGTTCTTGGTAAAATAAAAAATCTAGTTCACACCATTCTAGACACATCAACAAATTATTTCCACTGATACTTTATTTTTAACGGACTTATATTTCTAACAAAATGTCAAAATCACAACTTGCCAAAGTTTCTGATAATTGAAAAATCCTTGAGAGATCTTAGCCTCTCACCAAATGGTCACTGAAACATTTGCAACAAGGTATTTTTATCTTGTCTCCATTTACTAAGAATCAGGGTGATATGGTAGAGAGCTGGCCTGGAGGTGAAACTAAGCCAGGTTCAAATCCTGCCTCTGGCACATACTGTCCACGTGACCCTGGGCAGGCACCAGCTCCTCAGTAGTATGGGAAGCTCTCTGAGCCAGAAGGTGCTGACCCGCACTGGGAGAGGGCGTTTCTTCCCTGAGGAGCTCCCTATAGTAACGAAACCACACGAGTCTCTCTCCCGATACCTCGTGGATGCACCAAACAGGGCTGTGATGGGAGACTCACCTAATGTAAAGTCCCTCCAACGGCCACCAGCCCACACCAGCTATACACTGTCTGAGAGGGAAACACCATCAGCTTCAGCCATGGCGCGATTGGGTCTCCCCAGAGCAAGGCAACAAGAGAACCAGAAGGGGCTTCCACGTTCTGTCGTTCGTTACCTTGACTCTCTTCACTCGTTCCTTCTGAGCGGTGGTCTCCAGTTGCCTCTTGAGCTCCATCTCGTAGTTGTGCTAAACAGGAGGGGAAACAGAGTAGGGAGCGGGGAGAGAATCCTTCGTGAAAGCCAAGAAACGTTCATGAGGAAATCCCACCAGACATGACTGTATCAGGAAACTCTCCTCTCAAAGGACTCCCAGTGTTCGTAAGATGATAGGAATCATGTTCATCCAAGCAGAACCCACGAAATCCCCTGATGACAGTTTTAGGATGTTTTCTTTTTATTCTCTAAACCATCTTCCTTTTGGTAATATACATATGTATGTTATACATGTGCACGTGTATTATGTGTATATATATGTGTGTGTATTATGTGTGGAGAGAGAGAGAAAGAGAGAGAGACAGA